TCACAATTTTCACAACTTAATTTTTTTTTAATTAACATTTACTATGCCAATATTTATGGTGTTGATTAATTTTGTTTTTTCATATTGCAGATCCCTCTGTGCAACAGAATTGTGTGACAGTTTTCCTGCAATTTAATTGTTTAAAAAAAACTCAATATTTCATTGCTATAATATCGCAATATATTGTACAGTTGCTCCTGTATTGCGATGCATATCGTATCGCCAGATTCTTGTCAATGAATTTAATTGTTTAAAAAAACTCAATATTTCATTGCTATAGTATCGCAATATATTGTACAGTTGCCCCTGTATCGCGATGCATATCGTATCGCCAGATACCTGTCAATACACACACACATACACCTATTAATCACGGTGCTGATCTTGTTAAAAAAAAGTGGAAACGAACCTTTTACTTTTCCAATCAAAGTACATGTCTCTGTTTATTTCCCTGGCTCAGGTAGTGATATTTTGGTCCTTGGCTCTCGTTTTTTTGAGATACAGGTTGGAACTTGTTGATCATAAAATGCCTCTGATGCAATTTGGTTGCATTTCTTTTTTTTTTTTTTACTGTAGAAAACACAGCTTGGCAGTGGACACTCACACAGTGGTTCTGGTTTTATTTCCAGGACCTTCCAGTTATCTGGCACCACTGTCCCCTGGGGTTTGTTCAGTAACCAAGCTGTTGACAAATCTATAATCAGCAGATCACCTCATCAGGGACAACGTGTGTCTAAGCTGAGGGAGAAGGGAAACTTCTCACAGTCCAGAGTTAGCTGCCACCTGGTTTCATGCTAGACAGGTCTGGTTTCACGCTGAGCAAACATGTGGCTGCCCTCTGTGGTACAGTGAAAGGCAGGAGCGGGACTGTCGTAGGCCACAGAGGCCTCTGCTCTCGCCTATTAAAATGCCCACTGAGATCTACTTTCCCTTCGCTAGCCAGCACTTCGCTAGCCAACGAACTACTGTTAGCCGATGCATATTAAATTCTCTAGAGGGAGCACAACTCTAAAAATAAGAGTGGAATCTTTCTGAAATTGTAGCTACACTATAACGGAGGTTCAGCTGTGGGTGCTTGGCGAACAGTGGAGATGGCACTTTCTGACAGAGGTACACATTACTTTGGTATGACCTCAGTTGCACTGGTCATCCTCTGTGCTGAAAATATGTGCGACTGATTAGGTGAGATAATCCTACTTTATATTTGATGTGGGGGGTGGCGGGGGGGGGGGTTAAGTGACAGTTGATGTCAGAAACTTAGAAATACATTCATACATGGTGTTTTTATCCATGGCCTATTTCAAATATATATATTTTAAGTGATCTTTTTCAGTGGTGTGATCAGCTTGGTCTTTCTTGGTCTAATACTGTGCCTAATTAAAAGGAAAGACATTTCTGTTGGTACTTTAATACTACAACATTAACACGCATTACGTCAACATTCAGTTTATGATATTTATTAGGCGTTGACAGTCTGACTCGAATTAGCAATGGTTGTGGGTTGTGTTTTTATACAACTGTGTCAGTCAAGAGGAAAAGGAAGGAAATGATTTTTTGTGTCAAAATATAACAACCGTTAAATCTTTAATGAAAATGTAAATTTCAGGTTTTGTTTTCCGTGTTAGCGATACCACACAAAGTATATTTAGTAAAAAAAAAAACCCCAACACTTTAATGTCTTTTGCCATCAAAATCTCACGGAGGAAAAACCATGATTTTTTGTGTCAAAATATAACAACCGTTAAATCTTTAATGAAAATGTAAATTTCAGGTTTTGTTTTCCGTGTTAGTGATACTAAGTTAAGTTAGTAAAAAAAACAAAAAACAACAACAACACTTCTTTAATGTCTTACCAATATTGTATTTGTCCATCAAAATCTCACGGAGGACAAACCAAATGAATACATGTTCCTTTCTGTAAAGAGCTAACCTGATGCATGTCTAAGTTAGTAAAAAAAACAAAAAACAACAACAACACTTCTTTAATGTCTTACCAATATTGTATTTGTCCATCAAAATCTCACGGAGGACAAACCAAATGAATACATGTTCCTCTCTGTAAAGAACTAACCTGATGCATGTCCGTGTTTCATCTCCTGCCTCCTTCCTGTCTGACACCCCTGTACCTGCCTCCCGCTCCTGCCGTTCCTGCTGCCAAATTATGTGACAAACACAGACTGTGGGCTGACTCACATTTTTCTCACACAGGTCCACTGTAGTACAGTGCTTTCTACTTCTGTGCTCTGTAATTCCATTCTTTGCCCAAAAACAACCCCCCCCCACCGTGGCTTCTCTCATTAGGGGCTCATTGTGTTGTTATTGTAATTGAGCGCTTCTGAACAGCGAAAGCACCAGCTTGTCTGCTCATGTTAATGGGTGGTCCTCAGTGGGAGAGTGAACCTTGGAGTACTTTCGGTCACTGTCCCCCCAAAACCTCAACCCACCCACACACAGTCTGCTAGTTTGTTTTCGTTTTTTTGTGTCTGCGTAACTTACAAATCCTGAGCCTGGTCTTTTTTTAAGTCTTAATAATTTAACGCCCTATAACATTTTGTTTCTCGTGTCTCTTTGTCCTCTAATGATCATCCATTTAGGTGCAATAGTTTTCTTTATTATTGTTTTTACCATATTACATAGACACAAATTAGGTTTTTAATGGTTGTACATCAATGGAAAAAAACAAATGTAATTTAGAAGTTGAGGAGGTCAAAGATCAAGGGCGCAAAAACACAGATAATTGGTGTGAACTTTGAGGTTATTCCTGGATATATGTTGTGTGGAATAATGCTGGACAACAAAGTTCCAAGTCTCAGTAGCTGTTCTGAGCTGGAAACTGTGTATGTTCTGTCAAAGGTAGATTGCTGGAGGCGTCAATAGTTGCAAAGTGAATCTGAAAAATCTTTGAAGGTCAACTATTGTATCCGTAGTATCTTTACTGTCCATTTTTTTTATTTTCACCTTTTCAGGATTTAAAGTACTTACTGTTGCCTGCATGGAGTCTTAACCTTGGAAACTGGAAAAAAAGCACAGCTTTACTGGTATGAAGTTGAAAAGAGATCAAGCAGAGGCCTGGCTGTACTGTTCAGATGTTCATATATGTGACATAGTTTTTGATTCAAGACAAGTAAAGGAAGGAGATCATATATTTTCTTGCTCCTCAAATAAATAACGCATGTAATGTTTTTCACATGCTCGTTTGCCATGTACGTAACAGTGGTCCACGGCTGCCCTTCATTCATGCATGTGATCACCAACAGTCCTGTAGGTCCCTTACGTCAGTGCCTGTACCTCCCTAGGCTCAGGTTACACTTTCACCAACCTCACTCCCTTCTCGCTGCCTCTCAACTCCTCTTAGTTCCTCTTTTGCTCACGACCTCCGACTCCGGCTCCCCTTACAATCTCATTGCCTCTTCTGTGGCCTCCTGCTCTTCAACCCAGGGAACAAGGAAAGGAGGTGCATTATTTAAAGGACACAGTAGCTCTTTTTAAGACCTTCTAACTTCATAACACTCCGTCCTCCTTGCCATTTCTCTGCCCTTTCATTCTCCATCTGCCCCCCCTTCTCCACACTTCCCCCTCCCCCAGATGACCCCTACTGCTCTGCTTTGCCCCGCTGTCTCGTTCCTGTCAGTTAAAAACAGGACTCCATTTTGCAAAGGGAACTCCTAGCACAGCCTCAACTACTTCCCCTTGAAACCCATTAACATTTCTCTGTGTCAATAAAGCCTCTCTAACCCGAGGTGTGACATGTGTTAGCATGACAGCCTACTGCGCAAGTAAAATGTCTCCATATCCGCCAAGATATTTTTACATGCAGTAGGAAAAGTACATTATCGTAAAAAAAGGTCACATTCGGGTCATCGTCAGACGTCTCAGAGAAGATAGTGGGCAGAGGTGACTCGCTCCCTCACCCCGATGGTTTTGTGTGACGTTGTTTGTTATGTTGTCATGTTGCACAGTAGGTATCTGGTTAATGCTCAAAGTGAGTGGGTGGCCTGCAGGCAGCTTTGATGTGTCCAGGAGATAAGGAAACCGAGGTAGAGTGGTGTAAAGTTCTCAGTTTCTACTGAAAAGAGTCATATAGTGGTTAGAGATTATTTTTAATGGTTTGGAGTTATGATAACATAACGTTATGGACTTCTCTACAGTTGTGTTGTCGCTTTAATACATGTGTAAAGAACTTGTTCTTGAGAAAAACTCAAGAACTACTTTCTAAGAATCCTCTCCTCTTTTCCTCTAAGCCTGTTTTTTAGGCTATGGGATTGTGGGATTTGTGGTTTCTGAATGGTCGCCGGAATACTGGTTGTGATGGCTGTGATCTTTAGTTGTGAACTTAAATCTTCCACCTGTTTTAGAGGTAAATGTAGAAGAAGTAACATTGATGTTGTTGCTGTTGAAACTTGGTTTGTTGAATTATTTCACTGTTGATGTTATTAGTCATTAGCCTTTATTAACATAACATTAACATCTTCTGCCACATTAAAAGGTGTGGTTGATAAGATACATAAGTAGTGAATTAATTTGGAACAAATAGTCTTCATGTCTCACTTAATGACAACAACCACTAAATGCAAAAGTTGACTTTCAGATTTTTTTATTTGACCAAAAAGACTTACTAACTTAATACATTTTCCTTAAGCCCATTGCTGTACAATTTTCTCTGTCATTTTGTTGCATGTTTTAAATATTTAAAATCCACATCTGCTCAACCAGTTTTAGCCTGTACTTATAATTAAAGCAGCGTTTAGCAATATTTTTTGAATAAACAAAGTGAGTGTTGAATGCGGTATTTCACAGTTTCTTGATGTGTGTTTCACAGTCAAAGTTAAATACATTTTAGACAAAAATTATACAGTTTCTGATCGCAGTCTATTAGTCTGGAGCCAATGACATGATATAGGTTGACCATGGTCTATTCATGTGACACAACGCAACAATGAAATGTATATATATATATATATGCATTTTAAAAGTAATCCTTTTCTTCTCTTTTCTTTCAGTATGCTCAAATCAGGACATTCGGAACAATGTGACCAAGTTTCAGTCTTTGGAAAACTGCACCGTCATCGAGGGACACCTGAAGATTCTGCTCATGTTCAAGACCAAGGCCGAGGACTTCCGAGGCCTCAGCTTCCCAAAGTTGCGAGTGGTGACAGATTACGTGCTGCTGTTCAGAGTTTACGGCCTGGAGACCCTCAGTGATCTGTTCCCCAACCTGACTGTGATCCGTGGCAACAACCTCTTCTTCAACTATGCTCTTGTGATTTATGAGATGCTGCATTTGAAGGAGCTCGGCCTGCACAGTCTGATGAATATCACCCGGGGAGCTGTGGGAATTGAGAAGAATCCAGACCTCTGCTACCTGGCCACCCTGGACTGGTCCAAGATTCTGGACTCTGTTGAGGACAACTTTATTATGGCCAATAAGAATGAGAGGGAATGTGGAGATGTATGTCCAGGCACGGTGCAAGGTCAGACCATCTGCCCACAGAACACCATCAACGGACACTTCAGGAGTCGATGCTGGTCGCAGAACCACTGTCAGAGAAGTAAGTAAAAATATTTAGGTTACAAAGTCTGAAAGGGAACATTCGTTCTTGGTCATACGTTCTGTTTTTAATAAATTCCAAGTCCATTGGTGTCAGGACTTTAACATTAGGAACAGGTGAATGACACAGCAGTGGTGGAGGTTCATATCGACACCTTCACAGAGTCCCTTTTTTGTGGTAAGTTGTTACGTTGTCCATTGAAACACATGGTGAGATTTTGCACTGGAGATTTTTTTTTGTCTATCAAGAAAAATCAATGGGAGACAAACGATGTTTTCATTCTAAATGGTATATGTAATGATTTGTGTGCTGCTGAGGGCTGCTGCTAATGTCAGCAACTAAGGGGTGGTTGGACACGCCACGTCCCCGTGATTAACGTTCATTGACTGGATTGTTGTGGGCAAATGATCTGTAATTAGACTGACAGGCCGGATGTGTCTGTTGTGTGAAACGACTCGACTGCATCGTTGCATCAGGGGGCCTGGGATTGAAAATAAAAAAAAAACACCATGGGAAGAAAATACCAGAAAAGAGGCAGGCTTGGGCACGAGTGGTGACAGACAGAGTTAAACAGTGTAGTAAGCGTGTACAGTGAGTTTGACGTTGCACAGATCGTCTCTCCACGGGGTAAAAAGAAGCTGTAGTTTTGTTGGCCGCCGCTGCGAGCTGCAGGTTTGTTGTTCCTCGTTTCTTCTGTTGCCATAAAATGAGAGACAGGATGGATGGCAGGATAAAGAGCCATTTAGTTGTGAATAATGATATTTATGTCCTGACGGGAAAGCTAGTATTCAAAGTACCAAATGTCCTTGGCCACGAGTCCCAGTGCCTTTGTGTTTATATCTATGGCAACGACTTTTTAAGTCGGGCTAATCGGTTTGGTGAAAGTCAAGACTTTGCATAATGACAGCATATTTACGGATTCCAATTTGTATAAAAAATGAAACAAAGCAAACTATTTGTTTTCACATTTTTCACATGGGTTTTCATATATTTTGTGAAATGTAGATTTTATTCTGACCTTCAGAGAAAACTCTTTTTTTTAATATTGCAATTATAAGAGTTAGGGCTTTAGATAGATGTTACAGATGATGATTTTCACCAAGCTTGAAGCTGCCAAAAAATACTAAAAATATATTGAATTCATTTTTTACATTTAACTGAATCTTGGTCTTTCAAGTGAGATTATTATTATTATTATTATAATTATTATAAAGACAAACCTGGCCAATAAGGAAAAGAACGCTGAAACAGACCTGGCCAATAAGGAAAAGAACGCTGACGTATAAACAGGACCAGAACAGCTACCATGTATGCATGTGCATTCACGTCTCCCCTTTTTCAGACCAGACAAGGCAGTGAATGTGACGCAGCAGCGTGTCATGTGACAGCCACCAGTTTAGTCGGGGGCAGGAGTCATTTCTAGAACATGATGCAATGGTTGTCTTTCCTCATGGCAGGAGGAGAGTGAGCTGTGTGTGTACGGGCCACACATAGAAATGATACATGTGCTCTTAGTGTAACCGTGCGTCAGTGTGTGTTTGATATGCGAGTGTGTGAAATTTGTACCTCAGGGCATGGCCTTTCCGAGCCGTAGTTTCAAATTAACACACAGGTGCTTGTTGTGTTCCTTGAACTTCCTGATGAGAACGTGGGGCTGGGAATAATATGTGGTTCCTTAATCCTCTTTGGTTTGGGACATTTATTGTTACAAAATATTGACCAGTAGAAAAAGGGTCCTATAGATTATTGGTGAATAAGTTGAGCAGTTTAAATCAATCTCAAAATGCAAATACAAAAATATTAAAATATCAGTTATAGGATCTGTATTGGCTTTGAAAACCAAGTGACAACATTTTTGTTTTCATCTTAGTAATAAAGATTTACACGAACCACACGTTCCCATCAATAACAATATTTCTGCTTTCGTTTGCATCTTATATATGGAGTATTTTATAGCGTTTTTTTACAGCATGTTACAGCATTGGCATTCGGTTTGTTTTATTACTCCCAACCTGAGCAAGAGCTTGGTTGGTTTTTATGGGAGAACTATATAATTTTTAATTAGGGCTTCTGAGAATAAAAAGTAAGTGTTTACGATCTTAAATGTACACATCACATGTAACTGTGTGTGTGTGTGTGTGTGTGCAGAGACACAGGCTCAGGATAGAGAAACATTAGACTTTCTAACGTCGAGGTTTACGTGTCAGTGGAAACTGAGGGATTGTTTTTGTTGTGTTTTTTTATAGGGTTCCACTCCTTAGGTAAAAGTCAGGGGAGAACATGTACTTTATTTGAACTAATACATGTATCTTTATGAGCTGGAAATCCTGAGTCTGTCAGTCAGAACCTGTGAGAATCCAATAAGTGCCGGTTGAATTTGAATTTTTTAAAAATCTCATTCAGACTTGTCATCGTGACATCAGCAAGTATAAACACTACAGGTAAATAGTTAGAGAACCAAACTGATTCTCTACTGCTGGTAAGACACACTTTCATACATAACATTTCATCAGCAGAGATTCTCTGCTACTGGTAAGACACACTTTTATACATAACAACTGTTATCAATGTGGATCAGCCGCTGTCGTGAGACGATAACATTGAGTCTGTAATAAAATGTTTACCAAAGGCAGAAAATAGCGAGCACGGACCTTGTTTTGATATCAAGCTGTAGCTAGTGCTATGGTTGCACAATGGATGACCATAGAGAAGGGTTCTCAGGTTAAAGGTCACTCTGTGCAAACCTTCTATCTGTGTTTGATTTATTCATACACAAACAAACACACAGGATTGTGCAACCTTAAAAAACTTAAGAAAAACAGCGTTACCATTTTTTTAAAATTGGAATGCTTTAAAAACAATCACCCCTACCTTCGACCTTTGACCTCCATTCTTGTAGGACAGGGTTTATGTTCTCAAGAGGTCAAAACTAAACACACAATTTTCATGAATTGAGATTACTTGACATAGACGTGCATCCTAACCTCAACAATTCCAGATATATGTCTAATCTTAATCTTAAAATGCCGTCTTTCTTGGTGGGGATCTGAAAGCATTTGAATAATAACATGTCCCCACAAGGATAGCTATACTACACACACACTCTCACACACACATATTAAACAAACACTACAAACAGCAGTTGCAGCTCTACTATTCTTTGACAAAGGCCACTGGACACACATAACCCCGGCTGATAATCAGACATGTCAGACATTAACAGTTTCACAGGTTAAACCTCTCATAGTAGTCAATATAAGTGGGTCAGTGTGCGTCATTCAGCATGGCTCTGTGACCCTTCCCACTACAGTTGAACGGTCAGGAGTAGCAATGTGACTTCAGTTCAAACACACCTTTCAGAAACGGGGAACGTGATGTTCACAGTTCACACGTGAACTGGTTTTTATTGGCGTTTTACGGTGACTTGACCAACGCAGTAACCGTACCACACGATTGGTTACGGGTTAGAGTTGTTTATGCTGGTGTTATTTTATTTTATTTTTTTCACATTATTAAAACAATTGGATTAGGAAAGGGTGGTGCAGGGCGTGGGGCGGGGACTTTATTGAGGACAAGAACCAAGTGGCCGAGAGCAGGAGAGAAGAGAAGAGAAGGGCTTGGGCAAAGCAAAAAATAAACAGAGCAAAACAAACATGGCTTGGTGTTTTCAAATGTGGCTCTCAGGTACACACAGACACACACTCCAAAACCAAGGAAGTACACACACACACTTTTGTCAGGATGGCCAGTTGCCAAGCAAGACGTGACTAAAGCGAGTAGAAAAAAAACCCCAGCAGTGTTGAGGAAGGAGGCGCTCGGTGGAGCGTGCCATTGGCCTGTGCCCACAACCAAACAAAAACACTTCCCTGGCCCAGTGTTTTAATTGGTGTCTTCACTCAGGCTTCTTTGGAAACAACAGTCAGTTTCTGCTCTGGTTCGGACACATTTTCTCGCCTTTTTGAGATTAGGTGTCTAATAACATCTGTTTCATAGCAAGTATATACAGTATATACAGGTGAAAATACTAGTGGTCATAGTCATAGTAACTGTTTTTTGCACATCTTCATTCTACTGCATATTACATTAAGTGCCAACAATTGTCTTACTCATTACAAAGGTCAAATATGGCAGAATGTTTACGTGCACACATATTTGATGCAGTTTTTTTCATTTTTTTTTATATCGTATTTTTCTGAAGGTACACATGGTACATATATTTTTTCCCTGTTGGTCATAAATGGTGGTCTTTGTACTTTCTACCAGGTGTTTCCTATTCACCATGTTTTTTTATATTGACCGCATTGACAAACAACGACATGTAGCTTCACCAAGAAGTGTTGCTACATTTTACATCGTGTACCTTTTAAATTTTTCAATATTTAGTATCAGTATCATATAAATCCTAAAATCAAATAGTGATGTTGTTGAGTATTTGAGTAGTCAAATCTGTGCACATGTTCATGGACCTTATAAGAGAACTGACTGCAGAGGTAAAATAGGGAGAAGACACATTTCAATGCTCCATTAATTTTGATTTGTCACCTATCTGCAAAGAAACAACCTTTGTACGTATATTGAACCACCACACATGGAGCAGGCGTGTTGTTTTTTTTCCACATGCGACCTGCGTAGATAACACCCTCTCAAACAGATACACATGCAAAAAACGTGTTACTTAACGCTGTTATTCGTCTTTTGTTACACATTTAAGAAACACCTAAAAACGGTCACAAACGGAAATGACTCGTTAGCAAACCCTGCAGGCCTGGGGTCTGAACTTCAGTGCAGTTGCATTCACAAAGCAAATTTCCATGACTGTCCACGTTCCTGTCTTAGCATATAATACTAATATGATGTGTTTTGTTAACAACATAAATGTAAACGTGATCACTGCAACGGACGTCAGACGAACAGAACGGCACGATTACAAAGCCTTGCTTTCTCTCTCCTTTGGTTGTGTCACTTCTGCCTCACTCTCTGTCCCTTATAAGATATTCATG